ATAAGTGCAGCTCTGGCACCTTAGTACCCACTCCACAACACCAGTACCCCATGAAGTAAAACAGGAAGTTAATCCAAACATTACATTATAGGTACTTGCTGCGGAACAAGTGTGATGTCGTAGGTAAATAACAGCACTGACAAGTAATGACTCGCATCGTTCTGGCAATGTAAACCCAAACGAGCGGTGGAACGAGGGGAGGTCGAGGCAATGACTAGCACTGCTGAAGATTAATGGGCTGCGTATGGTCAGTAGTCCACAGTGGGAGTGACAGGTCATTCCCCTACTCACGTGCCAAAATGGCAGCTCACTGTAGCCAGTAAATTCTCAGCTGTGAGAAAAATGCATAGTCAGTTTAGCCGGGTACGATTCCCCCTCCTCCTCCTCCTCCTCCTCCTCCTCCTCCTCCTCCTCCTCCTCCTCTTCCTCCTCCTCTTCCTCCTCCTCCTCCTCCTCCTCCTCCTCCTCCTCCCCCTCCTCATCCTCCTCCTTGGGAGGAGGCCAGGCCGGCACCCGGCGAGCAGGGCGCGGCCAGCGAAAGCGGCCTGGGGCAGGCCGAAGGGGGCCAAGGACGCAAGGGTAGCCTTGGAGAGTCGCTCCTGCTTCCTGCGCGGGCCAGCTGTGCAGTCCTCCCGCCTCCTCCCTCCCTCCTCCCTCCCTCCCCCGAGACCCGACGACGCGAAAGAGCTGAGGCGCCGTGAAAGATCACGACCGCAGCCCTGGGCCACATTTCTCTCACCACCCGGGCGGAGGGCCACAGACCAGCCCGGTGCCAGCGACGGCTGCGCACACTGGCCTCCAGCGGCCGAGCCACGTCGCCAGAGCCGAAAGCTGCACACCGGGCTACAGCCTGGAGCCGAATCCCACGCGTCATAGCGAGCGAGTGGGTCGCCGCGCTGGGGCGAGCGCGTGCGACTGCAGCCCTCCTCGAAAGCAGACGCCAAGTGTCTCATGCTGGTCGACGCGCGACACGCGGCCCGCGGGGTCCGAGCTTCGTGTGCTTGCTGCCGCCAGGTGTCGGCGCGAGCACTGGGATGCTGGGGGTCAGACGCCGCCGCGTCGCGGGAAGGGATTGCGCTTGACGTCGAGGAGGGATGTAGGGGTCCGCAGGCGCGTGAGTGCCAAATCTTGGTCGGGCATGTCCCCCTACAGTCGGATTTCGAACGAAGAATAAAAGATAGTCAAAAAATATAAAAAGAACAACATCAACAACAACAACAACAACAATCATTTAAGACTGGGGACACTCCGTTCTCACCAGTGCCAGGGTTTTCATAGGAGGCGGGCAATACCCCCACTTTGTGGGGGGGCCGGTTCAAGCTCTACCAAATTTCCAAACGACTCTTCGCCACCACCCACACCCAGCTTCCCGCCCTATGACGTTCGGACACTTCACTTCGTGGCATGCGGACGACCGTGGCTACTATTCAGGGCCCCGCGGCCGACGACGACGGCGTGCGCGCGCGAAGAAAAAACGAATGTGTCCCGCATGGTATTATTTGACAGGGATGATGGCCCTGGCAGGTGCGCAACCGTTGTTGCAGAAGTTCGAAAAAGTTGCTCGCAAAAGCCCGTTTGACAGAAATGTTTAAAAAGTGTTGGGTTTCCTACGAATCCGCAAGAGCGCGCGGGATGAGATTTTGACATTTTTTTTTTGAAAAACCATTGGTTTTTTGATGTTTTTATGTTAAAATCGCTCCGAACACTAAGCTTTTGGAAGGATTTCGTCTTGCGCGCGCGAATGTCCACTTTACCTTATTTTTTGCAAGGGATTCTTGAAATTTGATTATATTAGAACAAGAAATGTCATTTTATAGTGTTTTTTGCAAGGGAAAGCGGATTACAACAAAACAACCGGATCTGGATCACATCGTTTACCTGAGGCTTCCTCACGAAAATGATGAAAATGTAGCTGCGGCCTAGGCGGCGCAGGGGGGGGCGCGCACCAGGGGGCCCAACAATAATTATTCTTTAGAATTAATAATGTTCAACAACAACAACAACAACAACAACAACAACAACAACAACAACAATCATTTTACCCGAACGCTCAGTGTTCTCACCAGTGCCAGGGTTTTCATGCGACGCGAGACAATACCCCCACTTCGTGGGGGGGCAGTTCAAGCTCTACCAAATATCCAAACGACTCTTCGCGACCACCCAAACCCAGCTTCCCGCCCTATGACGTTGGGACACTTCACTTCGTGGCGTGCGGACGACCGTGGCTACTACACTGGCGTGGGGTACACACCCACAGAACTTGGTCACTTATTCGGGGCGCGCGTGTGCCCAGCATCCTGCAATTGTGACATACAATACATGACACAGACAGACAGAGAGAGAGACAGAGAGCAGACAGAGAGAGAGACAGAGAGAGCGGAGTTGGTCACATTTTTGGGGCAAGTTCCTGAGATCGTCGTGTTTTTTGTTGGTCTTGCGCGCGCGAATGTCCACTTTACTTTTTTTTGCAAGGGATGTTGAAATTTGATTATGTAAGAACAAGAAAAAGTAGCTCGCGCGAGCTTATGTAACATAAATGTTGAAAAACCATTGGTTTTGTGGGAGTCGGACAGCGCGCGCGGGATGAAATTTGGACATTTTTTTTTGAAAAACCATTGGCTTTTTGATGTTTTTATGTTGAAATCGTACGAAACCTAAGGTTCTGGAAGGATTTCGTCTTGCGCGCGCGAATGTCCACTTTACCTTATTTTTTGCAAGGGATTATTGAAATTTGATTATGTTAGAACAAGAAAAAGTAGCTCGCGCGAGCTCATGTAACATAAATGTTGAAAAACCATTGGTTTTGTGGGATTCGGACAGCGCGCGCGGAAGGACATTTTGACAATTTTTTCTTAAAAAACCATTGGGTTTTTGATGTTTTTATGTTAAAATCGTTACGAAACCTAAGGTTTTGGAAGGATTTCGTCTTGCGCGCACGAATGTCCACTTTACCTTATTTTTTGCAAGGGATTCTTGCAATTTGATCAAGTAAGAACAAGAATTTTCATTTTATAGTGTTTTTTGCAAGGGAAAACGGAGTACAACAAAACAACCGGATCCGGTAATAATTCACTTTTCTGAAGCTTTCGCTAAAAAATGATGAAAATGTAGCTGCGGCCTAGGTTTTGGAGGGGGGTCGCGCACCAGGGGTCCCAACAATAATTATTCTTTAGAAGTAATAATGTTCAACAACAACAACAACAACAACAACAACAACAACAACAACAACAACAACAATTACTAGCACGTGGGGACACTCCGTTCTCACCAGTGCCAGGGTTTTCATAGGAGGCGGGCAATACCCCCACTTTGTGGGGGGGCCGGTTCAAGCTCTACCAAATTTCCAAACGACTCTTCGCCACCACCCACACCCAGCTTCCCGCCCTATGACGTTCGGACACTTCACTTCGTGGCATGCGGACGACCGTGGCTACTATTCAGGGCCCCGCGGCCGACGACGACGGCGTGCGCGCGCGAAGAAAAAACGAATGTGTCCCGCATGGTATTATTTGACAGGGATGATGGCCCTGGCAGGTGCGCAACCGTTGTCGCAGAAGTTCGAAAAAGTTGCTCGCAAAAGCCCGTTTGACAGAAATGTTTAAAAAGTGTTGGGTTTCCTACGAATCCGCAAGAGCGCGCGGGATGAGATTTTGACATTTTTTTGTTGAAAAACCATTGGTTTTTTGATGTTTTTATGTTAAAATCGCTCCGAACACTAAGCTTTTGGAAGGATTTCGTCTTGCGCGCGCGAATGTCCACTTTACCTTATTTTTTGCAAGGGATTCTTGAAATTTGATTATATTAGAACAAGAAATGTCATTTTATAGTGTTTTTTGCAAGGGAAAACGGATTACAACAAAACAACCGGATCTGGATCACATCGAATTACCTGAGGCTTCCTCACGAAAATGATGAAAATGTAGCTGCGGCCTAGGCGGCGCAGGGGGGCCGTGCACCAGGGGTCCCAACAATAATTATTCTTTAGAATTAATAATGTTCAACAACAACAATAGCAGCAACAACAACAACAAAAGTAAAAAAACACTAGTTTTGATTATTTTTGAATATTCCTCCTGTGGAGGGACATGCCCGACATAATGCCAGATCCACGGATCGGGGAAGGAATCCCCTAAAACATGGGGCCCAAATAGCCTGAGCTCGCGACGGAACGCGCCGAGTACGCACGAAAACCAAAGCCGTCGCAGATCTACGCACCTTCATTAGCGGTTGCGCTGCCGAAAAAGAGGGAGGGGGTAAGCGGCGGGTTCCGAAATCCCTGAACGGCGGGTGGCATCTCTTGGGGACACATGTTTTACTTCTGCATGCCTTGCGCTGGCCTTCCACTGGCGGCGGAGCCGCAAACGTCTTGTTTGCGCCGCCTTCCGCCAGTCTTCCGCCGCCTTCCGCAAAGGAAGACATGTCATGTGGAAGCGGCCGGGGAGTCTGCCCTAGATGGTCCCCGCGAAGATCGGTCAAAATCCACGGACCCTTCCCAGGGTCAATCAGGAGGAAAAGAAACACACAGACACTATCAATCCTCGATTCCCCAAAAAATGAAGGAAAATATGGGAAGTGGGGGGGGAAGACAGAAACCCAGAAAATATTAGAAAAAATATGGGGAATATTGTTATTTGTGTGTATTTGTTTGTGTGTCCTGGGACCCCTCCCAGGGTCAAAGCTGCTGTGTTTCTCGAGCCGCATCCACCCATGGCGACGAAGGGGCTCCTCTCTCCCCCCCGTCTGCTGGATGGAACCAACGCTGGGCCACCTCAGCCCCTCCGCCGCCTCCAAGATGTCAGCCTCTCGATCCCTCGAGGGCGAGCACCTCTCTGCAGCGCCCCAAGTGGTCCCACCAGCCGTGCGGATATGGCACCGCCCGCGCGGCAGGCCCAGCAACACGCACCCCTGGGACGCCGCGCGGGCCAGGCTCCTTTTCAAGAGGCGGGTGGAGGAGGAGGCACGGCGTCCGTCGCCCCTGCGGCGGCAGCGGAAGCACTGACCTCCAAAATCTTGAAAACAACACGGATGTTGTCCATCGTTTTCTGCCTCTGGGGGCTCCAGCAGGGCTCTGGGAGCATCTGAAAACGAGCTGGGACGAAAAACTGGCCTCCGAGAAGTGGTCCAAAGCTCTGAGGACTCCGCGTTGAAAAAATCAAAACTTCGGAGGTCTGGGAGTTGAAGGCGGCCGGGGGGTCCGAACTGGTTGGTTGGGACCCCGGGAAATCGGCCTTCAGACCCCTGACAGGGTCCATCTGGTCCAGATTTTCACCCCAAATCCGGATCCTTTTTTGACGGTCCAGGGGCCCGAAAGCGGCCCCCGGAGGCTGAAGAAGGCAGCCGAAAAAAACAGAACCCCTTCCCGAACCCAAAGCCTCGAACCTGTCCCCCCTTCCTGCCATGCCACCTCAGACTCCCAGCCGACCCCCCCAGTGCGGGAGCGACAGCGACAGCGTCGGCACACCCACCGCCGCCCTAGCCTTTCCCGACCGAGAGCCAGCTCGGCTGCGTGGAGCGCCCTGGCGGCGATCCACCGACAGCTCCGCTGCGGGCGAGGCCACCGTGGCACATGGGTGGAGAAGGCGGGGGGAGGAGGAAGAGGAGGAGGAGGAGGAGGAGGGAGGAAGAGGAGCAGAAAGAGGGGAAGGGAGGAAGCTGGAGGGGCGAGCGCCGGCGCCGCGGGACATCACACTCGCGGCCGACGCGGCGAGCCTCTCACCACCGCGTCGGAGGACGGGCCGCGGTGGAAGTGGACGTCGCGGTCGTCGACGGAGGGGGAGACGCCGAGATCGTCGGCAGCGGGCAGCGTCGAACGGGAAGCCGGGGAATATTCGGCGGACTCGGCGCCCAGGACGAAGTTCGAGGGCCTCCTGTCGACCGTGCCGAACAGGCCCAGGTTAGAAGCTTCCACTGGCAGGTTCGAATCGAGCTGCCGGCAGCGGAGCGCGTCGCAGTTGCGGGTGACCTCGTCCTCCGCGCAGATGACGAGCTCACTAGTCGCGGTTGGTGCGCTGGCAAGCGGCACGGCACCGTCAGAAGGCACCACATCGGCATCATCAGCAGCGGGAGGACGGTCGGCAGCAGCATGAGCAGCCATCAGGACGTCCAGGGAAGCGAACAGCTGGTGGTCACTAGATGGGAGGACGCCGCCGCGGCGGCGGCCGAGATCATTCTCAAAGTTCGCGAGGTCACCGTCCTCGAAGCCATCCAGCGGACCGTAGTCGGGGTATTGCGAAGCAGCCGCGGGCCCGCCGGCATGCAACATGGTGGAGTTTTTTATTTAGCATTTTAACTCAATCATTATAGCCACCTGCATCACTCTTCATACGCGGGGCCAATCAGCCGGTGGATGTCCACGGCAGCGGTCGCGTCGAAGCCGCCGTAGTGGAAGGGGCGGGGCCTCGTATTCCACCGAGTCCAAAATATACTCGCGCGGGCCAACGCGGTCGCGGAGGCCAGGGCAGGGGCCAGCACCATCAGCTTGAGAGGCAGCAGCACGTGGAGGAACTCCGCCGAAGCGGTTCGGTCAGAGGAGCACCATGCATTGGGTCGTCCAACAATGAGCCTGCCGCGTGCGAGCCACTGGATGGTAGGGCGTCGCCTTGCCATAACAGAAAATCACGATCAGCACCAGGCGGGGCAAGGTCGGAGGAGCTGGCGGCCAGCCACGGCGGCCAACGCGGCTGCGCTTATAAAACCTTAGGGGGGCAGCCAGGCCAGACGGCTGGAGCGCGCCGAAGGGGTCGTCGAACTCCGCGTCGGACATCACATCGTCCTCGAAGATTGGCGGAGACGCGGAATTCGCCGCGCCTGCCGCCTCGAGCTCGCCCACGGCGGTCGGCGACAGCAGCTGCCGAGGCAGGGCCTGCACCAGCGGCAACCACCATGCGCCGGCGGGGCCATCTCGGCGAGCTCCGCCCCGAGCAAGATGAAGGCGGGAGAGGTCGATTTGGCCCAGCGGGTCAATGTCGAGCCCCTCCAGGCTGCAGGCTGGAGAAAACAGTCAGTCGCGGGTCGACGTCTGGGTCGGCCGCGGGAGGCCGCGAGCCGCCTTCTCGGAGGCATCTGGCACGGGGTTGGAAGGCGCCCACGGCGGGGCAATATCGCCAATCAAGTCTGCGAGCGCGACTAATCGCCCGGAACAGCGCGCGCTGCGCAGCGCGGGGGCCTCGCGGAAGATGCCGCCGCAGGCGGCGACTGAGCGCATCTCGCGGGGTCGCAGACGAGCGACGAGCACCAGGCCGCCAAACAAATCAGCTCCGCATCTTGCCGGCGCCGCGAGGGGCCACGCGGGCGCCCGGAGTTAAAGCCGGCCACGGATTGTTCGCGACGAAAGAGGCCGCAAAAGTCTTCCGCGCACCCGTCGAGCAAGTCTGCTGCCCAGACGCAAGCTCCGTCAGCGAGCGCTACGCGCGCGCCCTCTCCGATCACTGGGCAGGGCCCCCAGGAATCACGTCGCCCCCCGGGCGCCCGGGAATGGGGGGCGCGGACCTCGAGGACGGGCATGAGAGGGCGCTCCGCGGGCGACACAAGATGGCGGGGATGGCGCTCCGAGAGCTGCACACGCAACCGAAGGATGTCGACGCAACAGAGGCTGATGAGGATGACGATCTCGGCGCGCGGCATCCGGGGCGCGCGGTAGGACTCGTCGAGGAGGGGCACGGAATGCGCATCCAGAAAGAGGCCCCCAGAGAATCGGATCGAAGGCGGACCTGGGCGCGCGAGACCACGTAGCCAGAGGACCATCGGATAGTCGGAGCAGCAATCGAAGCAGAGACGCAGGCGCAGCACACGACCACGACGCCCAAGACAACCTCGCCCGACTCGACGGCGTCACCTGCGAGAACGAGCGGCCCCGGCCGATAAGCAGGGCGGGGGAATCCAAGGACGTGCTCGTTATGACGCCTGACGCTAAGACAGGAAAGGTTGCGCTAGGCTCGTCGAGCTGACGGGGGCATCCAAACCTGAAGGTCAGATGCCCGAAACCGCCGAAAACGCGACAAGAGGTAGCCCGTCCATGAGCGAGGGTCTCGGCGCATTTCGCGCCAGATGGGAAGCGCGAGGACGCGGTGCAACCGATGGCGCGCAAGGGAGTCTCGACGAAACCTCACTCTACGAAAACGACGGGCACGGCGTCTTGAACGCGATCTGAGCCAGCGAATGGCGGCCCCCGATGCGAAGGCGACGGCGGCGTTGTCAATCGCGCAGGCGCGAACTCGGGAAGGGTAGCCGCGCGGGGGAGGAGCCTGTGCTGAGTGCCCGACGAGATGCAATGGAGGTGCCCCCCGCCCACTTGAGCAACAGCCAGGCCGGCCTGCTGAGCACTCCGAGTGGATGACGAAAGGCGCGCACACTTGCAAGAGGTTCCACGGCGATCAGCCCTGCAGGCATCATGCGGAACTGGAACACGCGGAGGAGGACGGCGTCGACTTCCACGCTGCAGCCGTCGGCAGCGCGAGATAGCGCAAGCGGGCTGCCGCCGACCGCCTCTGCGCGAACCTGCGAATTGAGCGCGGGGGCAATCCAGCAAGCGCCGTCGCGAGCAGCGGGGCCCATGACTGGCCGAGGTAGACGAGAGAGTCGAATACTGGGGTCGCCGCGAAAAAAAAGAAGCGGGCCTCGAGCGCGCCCCTCCCCCGGTCACCAATGCTGTCGGAGAACGAGGCGAAGAGAGGGGCGCGCTTGCATTTGTCGAGCCTGAAGAAGAGCGCGGCCACAGCTTGAGCGACATGCACAACGTCAACCACGATGCCAAGCGGCGAGCGGACATCTCGAACAACAGCACCCACGGCATCGGCGCACCGGCGCAGGCGCATGCAAGAACGAGGCGGGACTTCCCAAGCCGACGCTGGAAGTCCACGAGGCAGGGCGCCGCGACTGCAGCGCAAATGGAGCCACCGAGGGCGCGGCCCGGAACGATGCCCGCGGGGGCCCGCCAGGCGTGCGCAGGTACGTTGCTGACAATGGCGACGGCCTCAAGGCTGGAGTAGAGCTCGTCTACGGTGGCGAAGAAGGCCCCTGGCACCTCCATAGTTTGGAAGACCACGAGCATAAACTCCACGGGGGAAGGCTCGGGAACGCCGCGCCATCGTCGAGCGCGACGAGCGCTGGCACGGAAGAGAGCGTCGAACGCGCAGAAGCACAAGCTCTGCTGGCAAACCCCAAGTCAAGCACAGTGGTTCAAAAGTGCCAAAAAAATATATCCAACCAAGCCCCCCCCAAACCCCCAAAAAAAACAAAACGAATCCCTGCTGCGACCGAGGGCGCAGCGGCGACGAAGACCCTTAAATCTTGCAGTGGCAGTGGCGCCGGTAATTTCGGCATCCGCATTGCGGAATCCAAGCACGCGCGCCGCAGGCGGGGCGCGCCGACATCCTGCGGCGATGGGGTCGGCGACGCCGCTTCAATCCGTGAGAGGAGTTGGCCAGAGAAGCTTTTCACGCGGGCGCGACGGACAGCGCGTTGAAGCCGACCTCCGAGGCAAACCACGCCAAGTAAGGGATGCCACCCCGGACGGGCTCGAAGCGCCGAAGCTTGCGGGCCGTTTTTTCGAGCAGGCCAGGCGCGGGGGGTCGACCAGCGAGAAGCCCCTGCTCTGGGGATTGGAAGCGACGCATGGTGCCGCGCGCTCGCGGTCGATGGACTCGGCATTGAAGATGGGGGGCCAGTGCCCAAGGAGACATTCGCGCGCGCCGCGCTTGTCAGCCACCGCGTCGGTCTCGTCGCCAAGTGCATCGACGCCGTCGAGGACCGCGCGCCTTGCCAGAGGAAACCAGACCCGATTTGCGCTCGAAGGCCTGGAGCTGGCGTCGAAGCTGCTGAGGAGGGCGAGGGGCAGCGAGTCGCTCCCCAAGCTGGCGTCTCCCACTGTGACTATAGCACTGCTATACGGACTCGAGGCTGCGCCGAACATATGCAAGATGCGCGAGACGGACACGGCAACCCGAAACCGATATAAAGTCAGCCGCCGTAGCGCGGCTTGCCCACAGCACCGTCGCGAGCGCGACGTCGCTGCGCCGCGCAGCCATGGAAGTTTGAAGATCAAGGAGGAGCTAGGAGCCGAGGGTTTCAGGTGACTGTCGAAGTGACTGGCCTCAAGCCTCTCGGGGAGAGTCGCGACTGGCCCACTTGTTGAGCGAGACCTGACCTGCTCTGGCAGTAAAACGAATTGACGACCGCGTCGAGGAGCGCATGGATGGCGACCGACTCGACGATGCGCATCGGGATGTGCTGAGACCCCGTCGGATGGGACTTGCACTGTGAGATCGCGCAAATCTGAGCAGCGCGGTCATTGACGGCTTGTTCGGCAAGCGCTTCTGCTGGGCCAAGGACACGGGCCTCGCTCCCCAGCTGGCACAGTCCCCACCCAGGGAGACCAGTCCAAAAGAGGTCGATGATCGAGATGGAGCGCGCGCCGGCATCGCAGTGAGCGGGCTCGTCCGCGGAGACCTCCGAAGGGCCCGTGGACAGTCACAGCCACCCACGCGGCGGCGCGAGCGTTCTGGCCCTTGCTAGCAGCCGCTCGACGGCAAGGAGGATGAAGAAAAAGTGTCGAGGAGGGCGCGAAGTTGAAGTCCCCACGGGCCACGAAGGGAAGCTGATGCGGACGAGCGCGATCACCGACAGCATCACGACGGACAGATCTGCACACCAGG